GAAGGAGATCCTACCAACCCATGAATTCGGGTGCACAGCTGTTCTTCATAGTTTTATGTGCTATTTCAATTCATTTTAAATCAGAAAACGATCCATTCATGCAAATAAAAAATCACTTTGTATTTTCCAAAAAACCATAAAATTGCGTCACACATCGTAGAATACTTCGCTAGTGGGTCCAGGCCACTGCGCAAAATATTTCTTTTTTACCGAAAAAAAAATAAATCAAAAGAATCTGGAAAAAAAGTATGTTGTTCATATCAATGATGCGGACAACTTTTGGCTTGAGGCCATCTTTGATATCTCAACAGATAAGAAGATAAAAAAATAAAACAGAAAAACGAAAATAATATTTAGATGAAAGGTTATAAAACGAATTAAACATCCCCCCTCTAAACCCCTCTATTCCTTATCTTACCCCCTTTGAACCCTTCCATGACCTATCAAGGTTTTTATGAAATAAGAACGTATTTCTATTGTATTTTGCATGCGCAATATCACTTTTTTTTAATTTTTTTTTGCTTTTTTTTGGCCATTTTTTCAATCATCCGGATTTTTGGATAATCATCACCCCCGATATACTTTTCTCGGCCTTTTGGCTCAGATCAAGTGTAGTATCTGTTCTGATCAGTTCAATATCTGATCCGTGGTCCATCGGGCCACACGATATTAAATATTAAATTAATTCTGTAATGTGGAAACGGGTGTCACAAGGTTGAATTTTCTACAAGAAATGGTGGCTGGTGGGATGAAGCCCCTTACTTTGGCTTTTCTCACCGTTTGTCTTTATTTTCTTCTTTTAGTTCGCCCCTTACTGTGCCTCTCACGTACAGCTCGTCAGAAAAAAAAAAAGGAAAAAAAGTGAAAAAAAGGAAAAAAAAAGGAAAAAAAGGAAAAAAAGGAAAAAAAGCTAGTCAGAGAATTAGCCCCTTTAACAAGTTACAAGAAATGAAAAAAAAGAAAAAAGCTCATCGGGTTTTCGACTTTTCATGGAATTGAGTGTGCAAGCCGCCCACATAGCGACTGTGACTGCTTGTGTTGTGCAGGTTCAAAGTTCCCATAACTGAGTAATAACTTGAGTTTGTCAGACACAAATAGACACGATTGAAACTCTTAAAGGGGTTTAAAAGGGATCACCATGAATGAAATGGGGTTCAAAAGGGGTTAATAATTCCTTAATTAAGAGAGCTAACCTGTTCAACATGACTTTCACAAAACGTATATAATAAAAGCAACTACTAACACTGGTTACTACTCCTATTAAGGCTAAAAATAAATAAGCTCCGCAACCTGGAGCAGCAAAAAAGAGAGAAAATTTGCCGCAAAATCCTGCTAATGGAGGTATTCCTGGCAATGAAAACATAGTAATAGACATTGTAATAGTTCCACATAAAATAGGATTTGTCAACGCTAACGCGGCTAAATCCGCGACGTATTTCAAATGATTTTGGCGTAAAGCTAAAAAACTATTTCAAATACATTGATGGTCATTATTACATAAATGAAAACACCTATTAATAGTAAAGACTGTATACCTTCGATAGTTCCACATAAAAAAAAAAAAAATAATTAAAAGGTAACCTACATGGCCAATAGAACTCTATAAGCTAAAAGTTTTTTGACTTTGTTTTGAGCCATTGCGGCTAATGCTCCTAATATCATGGAAGCAATACTGCAAAAAAAGCAGATTGTAGTGTTCAGAGAGAAAGAATGGCTAGCCAGCCCTTCCTTTGTCCAGCGAATGATCCCGCAACTCAAAGTCCTCCATTTGGTAAAAAGTAATGAGTAGTACAAATTATTGTTAGAAGCGTACAAAATTATGAAGCCGCCACACTGACCTGTCGAAAATGTGAGCGGTAGGCAAAATAACTTCACCGGACATCGAACAACTCGAGTAGATGGTTGGTTATCTGCACCTGGCCTAGTGTTTTCCTCCCCCGTTTTAACCTTCTCCCCTTTTCCTTTGCATGTCATTGGATCAGTACCTCTGGGCCTCTGCCCTCCTCCGTGCAAGCACGAATTCGAACCGGCGACCTCGGCCTCAAGAGCCAAGTATCGTAACCACTACAGCCAGGTGTTCGCATGTGTGTGCTCGGCCCGGCCAGCCTAGATAACAAAAGGCCAAAGGCCAAGCCTAGAAAGTGACGCTGGACGTCTGCAGGCCCAGTGCAGTCCGGATCCAGATGCACACCTGGACGTCCAGGCCCGACAGCCCGAAGGATTGTAGAAAGCCAAAAGTTTTAAAAATTTCAAGATTTTCCAAAAACAAAAAGACCGAAAAAAATCTGTATCCAACTTTCACAATCTTGTCCGGGCGGAATAATAGGGCCACACCCAATACTCCTCCCTCCATTTCTAACCATGCTTAGGAATTATTTTCCTCCAGCTCACTCTTCCTTCCAATACAACCACAGGTACCACAGGTACCATAGGGACCATAGGGACCATAGGTACCATTTGCTATTTACATTTTCTATTTACATTTTCTATTTCTCTGCTTGGCTAGATGCACATGCCATGCCAGTGGAGCGAGATAGGAACATGTGGCGACAGGCACGTGTGCCCAACCGGGCAGCCAGACTTATAAAGGCGGTTCTCCGTCCGTATAAAGACTTATAGAAAGTCGGTCCTCTAAAAATGCGCGAAGTAGAATCAAATTTCTCTAACACAGTAATTTTAATTGATCGAACTGAAAAATCCAATAAAAATTAGCCTGTCTTATTCAACAAGTAAAACATTGAACTCCCTAAATAGAAAGAGAAGGAAAACAGGAAAAATGACTGTAAATCCAAGTTCAGAAATGCGCATCATTTCTGAGCTGAATTTTCAAAATTTCCAGACATATCCACGAGTGGCGTGTCATCATTGTATTGCTATTCTTAACTTTTCCAATGCTAGAAACAAACAAAGGTCTATATAGACATCGTCCATGGCAGTTATGCTGATCTTTGCACCATCATGCCACCATGTATGTCATCATCAGGCAGGACTGATTTGGGTACTCCATACTATCTATCTACTACGAAGCATGTTAGTATATATATATATATATATATATCGTCAAATAGAACTGCCCGGTAAACCGTAGGCAGAGAGGGAGAAGAGGACAACAAACGAGGGGCTGTGACAAACTGTTTCGTCGGAGTTTCACCGACTCATTATCGTCA